AAAGTTCCATCAGTATTCATGTTTCTTCTGGTGGGAATGTATCTTTTGCTTGTTAGATTGAGGTGGGAGTAGGGGTTGGTGTAAATTACATTTCTAGGCCTGTGCGGTGGTAATGGGAAAGTGACTTCTGTGTGGGTTACAATTTGTATATTCTAGTCCAGTAGCTTGTTCAGACTGAAGAAGTATTTCTTTGGAAAGTGCAAATTTCTTTGATTATAAATATTTGTCAGAAATATAAACCTATTTTAGAAGGTAAATATGGTGGGTGTATGTGACATAAAAACACTGTAGTAGTGGACATGAGGGAATCAGGAAACTGATTTTTCAAATACATATGTTTCTCTCCCTTCCCTTTCAACACCCCGTTTCCACATTTTGACTTGCATTTTTGCCCATTCCTGTGAGTTTGTGCTTCATTTCTTTCTGCTTGTAAACCACATTTTTGTCCTTTCAACTGTGTGGTTTTGAAGCGCTTTTACCATTAATGACGTTGCAAACTACTGTTAGTCGTGACACTTCTGTAACATAATGCGTATTTAGCAATATATACCCGTGTTGGAAAAGTCTGTGTTTTTTCAAAAAACTTCATCCATTCAGTATCCCAAGATTTCCTCTGTTGGGGGCTGGAAGCGAGGGGAAGTTTTATGAGAAGAGACTGCTTTTTTTTTGTTTGTTTGTTTTTTGTTTTTTGTTACAAGCAATTCAGATTTTGAATTGCTGGATCACTGAGCCTCTTGCATACTTGTTTGGGTTTCTTGCAATTGAAGCCAGTTACAATTTAATTCTCCTGGTGCTGCTGCTTGGATTATGTTGTCTTCTGATCTTTAGTCTAATGGTGAGTACAGCCTTTTTGAGCCCACCAGGAAGCAGTGATGCCCAGTCATTTGCACATTGTCTCAGAAAGCTGTGGTGAGAATGCAAGTGAATGGATCCTGTTGAAACAGACACACAATAATGCTGTGGGTAACCTTACTAAAAAAAGAAAATGTAATGTTGACTTCCAGTTATATTTATTCTGAGACTTCTTGCACAAATTTTTTCCTTTTCTCTGTTCTCTTGTATTCCTGCTTGTAAATCTAAGCCATTGGAAGTATTTTTAAAGGACTGCATGTGAGTCCAATCCAGTCCTGTCCAAATATGCACTACTCTGCTGTATATAGTGACATATTTTGAGGAAAGCAACAAGACGACCTGATAGCAGTCAGAGTTGTTAAAGGAGCACCAACAAGTCGCTTTTTGTTCTAGATACAGGCAAAGCAGTGGAGTTACTAGCAGAACACAGGCAATGTTTGGCTAGGAAAGGATGTCATATTTAGAAATAAATAGGGTTTAACAAATTTTAAACATCTTAATTGAAACATCCAGAGTTAATGAGATAACATTTTTTCTAAAGTGGCCCTAAAGCAGTTTTCCAAAATATATTTCACTTTTCTATGTGGGAAGAAAAAAAATAATTCAAGGAAGCATGAAACTCCTTTGGTGTAAGTCTTTGTAGTGTTGGCTATAAAGATAAATGATAAATGCTAAAAAACTTCCTTGTGCAGCTCTGTATATGCCTTCCATAAAAAAAAAAATCAGATTTACTTTTTTTTTTTTTTCCCTGTGGACAAAAAAAATCACGTTTATCTTGTTCTTTTAAAAGAGCATTATCTGTGGTAATTAAAGCCACAGACAGGAGAAAGATGTTCTGATTGAGCATTACTGCAAGGCCCCGGATGGAAAACATGCATTCTAAGTACTTGTATAGAACTTTTGTGGATGTAAACTGGGAAATGGCCAGATCTGAATCTCAAAAACGACCTAATGACTGTAATTTTAAAAAAGCTCTCAACATTATTGAAAATCAGATCCCATTTTGGTGCTTAACCTCTTCAAGGTGTCTAAAGCTCACGGCATCAGTACTAGCAAGAGAGTCGTTACTTGAATGAATGACTACATTTTTTACTGGTTTTGCTATGGTACATTTATTATGCAAAATTTATTATGGAAAGAGGAGCAGCAAGTTTGACAAATGAAATTTTGATGCCTAACTTACTGGAATGACTGACATGCTATTCATATGCACAAGTTCTACTTCTAAGGAAACTCTTAGAAAAAAAAAAAAAAACAAAAAACTGTAAGTGTTCAAATTTTTTTTTGGTTTTAGATTTATAAACTGCTTGAATCCTGCTTAAAGCTATTAAAAAATTGCTGTATGTTCTAAGTATAGATATTCTTTGGAGGGGAATTGTGTGATTTGCAAGTAAGACCACAGTGGACCTGCAGCGTTTGAAATCCCATGCAAACGATATATTCATTTCAGCTTTCCCTTGATGTCTTTTTTTTTTGCACTCTGAGCAAAAACCTGTTATCATTAATTGCAGCATATACATTAATTTGAATTCTGTAGGAAATGAAGGCTGTTTATCTTAGCATCTGTTTGTACCTTGGGAGCTGCTCCTTTCACTTTATTATGATAAAGGCCTAGAAAAATAACCATTAGATTGTGCTTTTGGGAAAACTGGATATTTCCATGAACTTGGTTTTAAAAATACTTCCTTCACCTCATAAAGTATGGTATTTTGGGACTGGTAAATTCTAGCAGATCTTTATTCCTTGTTGAATACACTTTTTCAATATTTTTTTCTTATTCTATATTTTATGTGTAGCTGGTCCAGACTATTTGTAGGGAGAAGGAGGACTTCCAGGATTCCTCGCTGGAATATAGCGAGCATCTATGTAAATCTTTCTCATACTTGCATTTTTCTGGCTTCTTTTACTGATAGTGTAAGCTAAACTCTGTCTTGGTCTGTGACTGACAGGTGGAAGTCACACAGATCAGGTACACAGTGTGCGAGCAGACTGAGAGGCTGGCATTAGCCTGAGCATCACAATGGAGGTGCCATTGCTCCACCTCCAGCAGTTTGTCTGGTCACTGGTATTCATGATTACTCCTGTGTATTCTTGCCTGGGGAAACCATATACACATGAACATGTGGGAAAGCACTTATGGAAATCAATACCTTTCTTAAAGTTCTTTATTCCCCTTACCAATAGTCATTTACAGAAGATTTTAAGGTGCATTTCTAAGGGTACTCCTGTCATCTTTTGTGCACAGATCTGACCCTTCCTTTGTAGAATTGCTCTGCAGACAACAAAAGGATGATGCTGCATGCAGTTATATCCCTGTGTATTTCCCAGACCCTGACATAAGACCTGCCATTCTGTCCTGTTTTAGTCTCAGCTCAGATGTTAGACTGGATGAGTTAAAGCGGGAGGGGGAGGCTTTGAATCAGAACAGAAAGATTAATTTTAGGCTCTTGCTAAACCACAATATTGAACTCTAACCTGCCTGAAACAGCACTGCAAGGGCATTGAGAGCATGAGCAGAGCAGGGATGGGTAGGCAGAGCTTTTGGAAATGGCACCTGTTTTGGGGGGCTTTGGGTGTGAACTTGTGCCTCACAGAACATCTCTGCCTGTGTCCAGCAGCTACTGGGATAAGTGTTCTGAAAGCTTTCTCACAGCTTTTCCTGTAGTGGTGGGTTTGGGTTGGTTGCTGGATTCCTGAAATCTGTGGAAATGATAATGAGTTCTATTATTAGTAGAGAGAGTTATTAAGTAGAGGAATAAATCCCATCCCTTTAAATCTAGTTATTACTGCCTTTTTGGTTAACTAGAAGCAGCGACTTCAAGTACAGTTGAAAATGTCTCTCATCAATGAGAGCAGATTGTCATAGCAATGGCAGGATAACAATAAAAGCATTTTGGCAATGGCTGGAGTCCTTTGGCTGCATAACACAGTGACAAAAATGCTGGAATACTGCATGTGGTACTGTAGTGAGGATCTTGCTGTAAGAGCACCGGCTGTTATTCCTGGGTTAGCTGCCATGACAACTGCACTGCTGGTGAGTGCCCTGTGCAGAAAGCTTAGGGTCATTGATATTCTGAGTGTTTCTCAGAATACTAGAGACAGTGGAGACCCCTTCCTGTAGTTCTGCCAATGTTTACTATTATCACAGTGGGTAAAATATACAAATGGTGTCGACAGGTATCTGAGAAGGAAAAAAGCTAGGTTACCTAAAAGCCATTTTTTTGTTTTATCTTTTTAATTACATGGTTTTATCAAATGCTTCTGATGTTCTTATCTTCTACATAGCTTTTATTCCCAGATCTCATTTGGGTTTGTAAGAAAAAGAATAGGGAAACAAATATATAGTAAAATTTTAATCCATTTACATTTAAATAATAGCTTGCAAACACTTTTTTATTACAAAAGCGTTAGAATGAGTTTGGTGGGATTTCTTGTGACATTTTTGGTTTTAAGTGTTTATAAAGCAAATGCTGCTTCACAAGCTGACTTTTACTGAGGGATTTTTTCAAGGTCTTTGGCTTTTGCGTTTTTAAAGAATGTCTAAAACATTTTTCTTTCTGATATTCTTGAAATACATTGCAACATCATTCATGGGAGAATTGAGATCAGACAGAGCTGCAAAGGGCATAGAAGGGGCTCTATATTTTTTTTTTCTTGAATATGGAATACCTTTTAATAAAAGGGGGATTTAATTTTTTTTTTTAACAGGACATTAAAACATGGAAATTAAATGCCTCTGAGCATGAAAAAAAAATTATAGATGCAATCATTTTAACTTGACAGATTTTCCCATAAGCAGTTAGTGTAAGAATACAAGAAGCTTTGCTATTTGAGTAGTGTTTATAGCTGGTTTTGTCAAAGTCAGCAGCGTGCATGTGTAGTTATAGGCAAAAATACAGATGTTAAATGTAAGAGAAGGTGTTTTGGGGGGTGAGGGGTAGTCATATTTTACATTCTTGACCCTGAGATTTCCTGCAGTATTGGGGAACCTGAAGTACTTGAGAACTGGAGTGCTTCCATCGTTATAAAAGAACATTATGATAGCACTGCGAAAAGGAAAACACAAACTTATTGTTGCCAACTAACTGAAGATTTAGTGTTGAAAGTACTGCATTTGTTTATTTTGCTTTGTGTATTTTGCTATCAAGGTGACATGCTTGCAGGACTTCTTTGGAGATGATGATGTCTTCATTGCATGTGGGCCTGAGAAATACCGGTATGCTCAGGATGACTTCGTGTTGGATCAAAGTGGTAAGACTGTACATCTTAATGCACTGAAATAGTCAACTTCATCGAGAACTCTTCCCCCTCCCCTCCTCCCTTCCCCTACCTCCCTGTTCAATCTTCAAGAGTTGTGTGATTTAGGAAAATATACATGGGAATATATTTTCCTATGGATTAAAAAGTTTTTCCAAACCATCATTTGGATTCTGTAAGTCTGTTAAAATGCACTAACAAACAGTATCTATTTTCTTGGAAAACTGACCCTGTCCCTAAAGTTACATGGAAAACGGCATTGGATTTTAAAAGGTTGAGTCATAGATCTAATGGATCTAAAATCTGTTAAAAACATTGACTTTTGACATCTAAGACTATAAGATGATTTCCATATTGCTGTTTTCATGAGATTTTTGAAAAATCACGTATGTAACCACACTCACTTCAGGTCTTGAATTGTCCTGCTAGACAATTCACACATTCCAGTCTTTTCTGCTGTAGACCAAGCATTGAGCCTGTTTATATTGTGAGATTATAGGGGGTGTTGCATGGAGAAGGAGGTGAAACAAACTGGGACTTTGTGCCCTTGCTGTCTGCCATTGACAGATCATGAATTTAACTTGTTTACAAAAGTTGTTTTTCTGTAAAGAGGAAATTTATAATGTAAGTTCAAGGAAAAAGCTCTCTCCTCTACCAGGGAGCTTTAGAATTGGCTTGGAATATCAAATCATATATGTGTTGCTTTTTGCTCCATGTTCATAGAATTGTAGACTGGTTTGGGTTGGAAGGGACCTTTAAAGTTCATCTAGTCCAACGTCCCTGCAATGAGCAAGGACATCTTCAGCTAGCTCAGGTTGATTTGAGCCCCATCCAAACTGACTTTGAATGATTTCAGCCATGGGGCATCTACCACCTCTCTGGGCAACCTGTGCCAGTGTTTCACCACCCTCATCATAAAAAAATTTCTTCCTTGTATCTTGTCTGAATCTAACCTTTTTTTAAATTTAAAACCGTTACCCCTTGTCCTATTGCTGCAGGCCCCACTAGACATGTTGTTTCTGCATATATTGGTTCAGCTCTGGAATCACCCTGATTTTCTTGTATGAAAAAATTAATCTGTGATAAAAAAAAAAAAAAACAACTTGCCGTGGCAAGAATCATCAGAGTATTTGAAGAGAGCTTCAGATTGTGAATAAGAGGGGTTGGGGTTTTTTTACCTTGCTCTCAGGTAGCTGAAAGCAAAAGCTCTTGCTGTTTTTCTAATTTTTACAAACACCAGAATGTCATTACAAAATCTTCACTTACATCAAGAAGTATAGGTATGTATCTAACCACTGGTCCATACATTTGGATGGATGGAGGATTCAGTTGACTTCCCTTCTGTTGTTACTGCCAGCATGCTACTTTTCCAGAGCTGCCTGATTATGCTGATTGAGCTAGTGTGCAGGTAACAAGAAGGTCTTTTTTTTTTTTAACATAGTTTTAGACTAGCTAAGATGATTTTATTCTTATGCAGGAATGGAAGAGCATGGTTGTACTAACTCACACTGCAAATCCCAGTCTAGGCAAAGTTGTAATTTCCTTTGCAGATTTTAAGGCTGTAAGTTTGCTTTTCCTATTACACCATGCACAGAGTAATTTGGCTCATTTCCTTTCTGAGAACCCAACCACAGAGGGTTCTTTTCTCCCTTTGTCTCTTCAGCTTTGGTGGTCCCAGCTTTCTCTAATAACTCTGGAGGTCTTAATGGAGAAAAGTAGGTTAGGTACAAAGCGGAACGGGACTTGACTGGCAGGGCATGCAGCTCTACTTGCTATTTTGATGGAGACATGGCATCATAATGATGCCATTGACATCATAGTGATGAGTAACAGGGACAAAATTAGGAGGGAAATTTATATGATTCCATTCTGAGTGATCTCCAGTGGATGCTAACTGTAGGAATTAAAATGTTTCCAAAATGTCGATGCATGTGTGCCTATTGATTCCTTTCCCATTTAGTTTGTCCTCTATTTAATGATATGTAGTTGATGGTAAATGGCACTAATCTATTGTCTCAGCCTTTTGGAAACAGTAGACATTTTTCACCTCTTTAAAAATTGGTCACAGTATCAGTTTCTTGCAAGAAAAGGTAAATGGGACTTGCTGTGCAGTTGCTGTATGTGAAGCTGCAATTACAGCGTGCGGGATTTACTGAATTGTCGGAAGAACCTTGCCATCAGCTGACTTCTCTACTCTATCAGATGTACGTATGTGCAAACCTGAATTATAGTAATAATCTAGCTTCAAGACATGAAGAAATATTACATGCAGAATGTTACATACAGTATTTGAGTAGCTCAAATATGTTTGTGTGGTATGTAGGTTAAAGTTTTGAGATGCTCTTATAGATTTGTTTCATTCAGTTGGGCAAGCATGTTTAGAAAATACTGATGTCCATTTTATGGATAATAAACAGCAACAATAGTATTTGGAGGAAGCCTGCATATTGAACTGTCATCAAACTATCCATTTGCTTTGTAGAATGCCGTGTTATGAAGTCGTCTTATTCCCGATCAACTGGCATGAGGCATACTGGGTCCAAAAGTCCAGGACCTTCACGTCGAAGCAAATCACCTGCCTCAGGTACTACTTCTAGGAAAGAGCTGAACATGTAGAATACATGAAAGTTAGATTTGGTTTAATGGGATGAAAAAACTGTTGGCTTTGTCTGAAACACAAGTGCCATACTTTGTTTCCTGAGGGGGAAAAACGCTTTTTCAGTTTCTCTCATGGATTTAATAATAATTTATCATAAAATTTGCGTTTATTTTTTGAATCATGAGAAGAAATGTGGTTTCTATTTTTTTAATGAACAGGCGCAAAAAGTTTCAGTTTGTGAACATTGGAATAATTTGTGCTAATTGTACACTTGGGATATGGTTTCAGCGTGGCACTTGGTTTTCATAAAGTCTGTTAGCTACATGATGGTTAAATTCATGTTTGGTGAACTAAAGCATACCCTTAAGTGTTTTGAATTGGAAATCCCATATAAGTCAAATATTGTCAGAAATACAGGATTTTCAAGTGTTTCAAGTAACTTTGGAGGTGTTCTGGAATGTTATTGCCCATTAACAGAGAATTTTTTTTTTCTTCTTGTGTTTCCTGTAATTTCAAAGAAAGGTTCACATTGTGGTTTTGCCAGCAGTTTGACTGAACACTGTATGTTCTAACCATTGAGTCTCTTGTGCAAATAAATAGAAGGGAGAAACTTTTTTTTTCATTTTTACCTCTGCATTTGATTTCTAAATACAATAAAACTTAATTAACTTTTTTCCTCTCAGACCTGGAGAAGTGACACTGAAAACAAACCATTGAATATGTAAATATACAAAGCTCTGTTTTGAATGTAACTATACATGTAAGCTCCTGTGTGTGTATTCAAAACTGCAACATGTTCCGTATTCTCATTTCCGTATCAGTATTTGTTTTGCTTAATTGATGCTGATTAAAGTAATTTTATGTCTTTGGGTTCTTTCAAAGTGGAATCTTTAGGATCTGCTTATAAAGGTTGAATATTTAGGATCTGCTTATAAAGGTTGAATATTTAACTGAAAAGCTTCAAAGAAGGATCTCAGTAACAACAAAGAAAAATGTAGCATGAAGGACAAGTCTCACAACTGATACACATTTCGTGCAATTCTGTAAATTCCAATGATATCGCATGGGATATCCATTACCAGTGAATGTTATGCAAAGTGTTTAGAAATCAGTGCTGTAACTTCCTTACTTATTTCTACTTGGACACTCTTTTGGTTAGGATAATTTGAAAATTTTATCCAAAGTGTCTGGTATTTATCCTTCTATTTACTTGCCATTTTTTTCTCATGTAGTCTTTACTTATCTTTATTTACCTTTCTTCCTTTTGTGCATGTTCAGAATTGTTTAATAACTTCTTTCCTTGATGTCTTTTTCCTTTGTGTCAAATATATGAGTACAGTAAAGAGGGGTGGCCACTACTCCAGTGCTTATTCTTCAGCAAAATCCCCAGGTGAGCCATTACTATTATGGCTGTATATCACTAGTGTGTCTCTTCCCTCTCCATTTACCTGTATTCTTTTTGCTGTATTTGTGAATATTTTCAAGCTTGAAACACACATTTTACATTCAGTGAACCACAGACATAATGGCTGCTGGCTTTTTTTTTTTTTTTTTAAGTAGATTATTTTGAGTGAAATTATATGTATGGTGCTTAATAGTTATCAGACATGTGCAAATGGTGTCAAAGTTAGTTGTAAAGGTGTAATTTGACTACAAGTAGAGGAGCATTCTGTTTGTGGAGTCTCCTTCTCTGGAGATATTCAAAACCTGTCTGGACGCATTCCTGTGTGACCTGCTGTAGGCTGACCTGCTTTGGCGAGGGAGTTGGACTACGTGATCTCCAGAGGTCCCTTCCAATTCCGACCGTTCTATGATTCTGTAATACATTTATATGTGTATTCTGAAGCATATTATAATAGAAAATTTCAGCCAGCGCAAAAAGGCAGGGTTAAGAGTTGTTGAAAAAAGCAGTGCAAAAACACGTGTCATAGTTTTACATTTTATTTTCAGTTTCTTACCTTACTTTGTTTTCTAGTGTTATTTCAGCCTAAGTTCTGAAACACCAAGAAACGTCTTTGAACCTTCAGTTCAAAGTGAAAGTATCTCTAAAACAAGTAACATGCATTTTATTACCAAATAAGTTGAGACTTTGGACCATACTAGAAGTTAAAATTTTAAAAGGTATTCATAGGTTTTTCAGTTTTCAACATTCCAATATGCTAAAGAATTGTAGCCTAATATATGTACTACTTAAAGAACAACAGAGAAGAATTTATTTTTTTCTGTATATTCAGGCTGCTGTACATGTTGAAAGAAACCTCAAAAGAACTTATAAAGTAGATAAGAAAAGTAAGTTTTGCATATGTGTGAAATAATCAGCAAAGCAATAGCAACGGACCAGTTTGACAAAAATGAATACAGATTGCTTGTGTGGTTTCTTTTGAGTGAAAAAAAAAAAAAGTACGGCTGTCTGAATTAGCAGTGTCATGGTTTAATCACAGACAGCAACTAACCACCACATAGGCTTTCATGTGCTTTCCCCTGTCACAGCAGCAAGGGGGAAGAGAATGGGAAGGGTAAAAGTGAGAAAACTCGGGGGTTGAGATAGGAACAGTTTAATAATTGAAATACAATTTTTAAAAAAATGTAATGAAAATAAAAATAACAGAGAGAAATTAAACCCAAGAAAGACAAGTGATGTAAATTAAAACAATTGCTCACCACCAACTGACCAATGCCCAGCCTGTCCCTGAGCAGTGGCCCCCTGGTTTTATTGCTGAGCATGACATCAATGGTATGGAATATCCATTTGGTCAGCTGGGGTCAGCTGTTCCAGAGGTGTCCCCTCCCAACTTCTTGTGCACCCCCAGCCTACTCACTGGTGGGGTCGTGTGAGAACCAAAAAAAAGGCCCTGATTCTGTGTAACCATTGCGCAGCAATAATGAAAACATCCCTGAATTATCAACACTGTTTTCAGCACTCCTGGTAAGAGTTGGAAGGGACTTTTGGAGATCATCTAGTCCAACCCCCCTGCTAAAGCAGTTTGCCTAGAGCAGGTTGCACAGGATCATGTCCAGGCAGGTTTTGAATATCTCCAGGGAAGAAGACTCCACAACCTCTCTGGGCAGCCTATTCCCTGTGCTCTCCCATCCACAGAGTAAAGAAGTTTTCCCTCATGTTCAGATGGAACTTCCCATGTTCCAGCTTGTGTCTATTGTCCCTTGTCCTGTCACTGGGCACCACTGAAAAGAGTCTGGCCCCATCCTCTTGACACCCACCCTTTAGATATTTATAAGTGCTGGTAAGATCCCATCTCAGCCTTCTCTTCTCCAGGCTAAAAAGCCTCAGGTCTTTCAGCCTTTCCTCAAAACAGAGTCCCCTAATCATCCTTGTAGCCCTCCGCTGGACTCTCTCCAGTAG